TACCCTATCTATCTGAGCGGCCTATACTCCGACAAAAGTCTCGAACAGATGGACACCACTCATAACGCAAGTTAGAGAGACATATATAAGGACTCTACGAGAATTTGTACACACTGTCGGGTAGACGCGTCCACGATACACTGAGTAATAACGTAATGGGTGTTTGTGTAATTTTTGTAATGATCCGATCCTGACTATCTCATATCATGTATGGTAAACAGCTGGAGAATATAGAGGGCTCAGAATGCGACACCCGAAGGGAGGAATCAAACTCGTCTCCATCGGGCCCTGGAGCACATGTCCCAACATACGGTGCCATTTGTGAGGCCACGACGATGCGCACACGACCGCTCTCGCACCTCAAGAAGTCGTCCGACCCGGTACCTCTAGGACGACGAGGTTGTGGCGTCAAGGCGTAGAGGTGCTGGTGTCGTTCCGACACAGGTACCTCCGAGACATGTAGACCTGACTCGGACGCTCCTGTTCCCTGACGACAGTTTGTTTCTTCTGGCAGTCTCTTGGGAGTGACGTCACTTTGCCTCGCTTTTCGCCGAACTGCATTGTGGGGAAGCAAAGCAAAGATTTCCAGGATTTTCAGGATTCAAAAGTTGAGCAATGTTCAACTTTTGAAGCTGAGCTGGAAGCGTCAGCCAATCAAATCCCGTTTATGCAAATCTGACAGTACAAGCGCTAGCCAATCAAACCGCGTGCAAGCTGGGAGAGCCATTCATTTCCTCATATTCCAAACGAGAAATTACGGTAGCAAATCACCCGGTTCTTTACGACCAGAACTATTTACCGGGATACAAACCGGAGGAACCAGGCATGGAGGGAGGTGGCAGAGACAGTGGGTGAAACTGGTAGGTTTTCGCCTGTTTGGGGAGTTTATATCCAGTTTACTTCGTTTTAACATTGCTATTGCTTTGTATGTCGGGGCGGGAGATTCATGTGATTGGTTGTTGGTCGCGTTGCTCGCAAAAAATCCCCAAGCTTTCAGACACACCCACCTCCAAGATTTTCAAGATTTTTTCAAAGCTGCTGTGTGGACGAGGCGTAAAGGCTGGCTTGACTTCAGGTATAATTCGTCTGTAAACACACTTTGGCGGCTATCCTAGTTAGCTTTAGTTTAGCTTGCTAAGCTAATGTTAGCTGATGTCGGTATGCTGAGATGGTGTAATGCGTAGGCTACTATTAATCACTGTTGTGTGTAATGTCAATTTGCAGAAAATGAAGAGAAAGTCAACAGACATCTCTTCTTATTTTAAGAAGAAGATGAGTAAAGGAGAGACAGAGCTGGCATAGGGCTAGTGAGGAGATGGCCATACATGCTAGAAAGTACATGTGGAACTCTGTTTTGTAGAAGTGAAACTAAAACCTAAGTACAGTTTTATTAATGTGATTGTGACCTTTTTAATCATTTAAGACTTCTACACACTTTAGGTCTGCAGCTCCTTCAAAATGAAACGAGAATCTATGCAGTTTTTCCTCTTCTGTGTTCTGAGGTTATGAGCCGACCATTAGTAAAGTTTGTTTTCATAATGTTCTGTATGCTAATTCAAAAAAAGGGTAACCAGTTTGTTTATAAAGTATAAATATACATTTTCAAAACAAATGGAATACAAGCTATATGTATTACTCTCACCACAGTGGCCTAATCTAAAAAAATAGAAATATGTCTCGTCACCTATTTTCTGTCTAATACTAAAAGGTGGTGTTTTGTATCATTTATAATGTTTTGCATTTGCTATAAAGGTCAATAATAGATGGTGTTTTTGTGTTCAATCACAGTATGTATTTACCATTTTATACCCCTTGAGTTTTTGGGTCCTGTTGAAATAAAATAGTCATGTTTTAAAACTTGATTTAATAAAGTCATGTCAATCATCTTTGATCCCAGTGTGANAACTGCATTGTGGGGAGCGGAGCATGGCTTTGCAAGCATCGTGAGCATCAAAAGTTGAGCAATGTTCAACTTTTGATGCTCCCGATGCTTTCGAAGCCGGCATCCCGGCTTCGAAAGCATCGGGAGCATCAAAAGTTGAACATTGCTCAACTTTTGATGCTCACGATGCTTGCAAAGCCATGCTCCGCTCCCCACAATGCAGTTCGGTGAAGATTAAAAATCTTCTACGTCACCCCATTCAAGTGAATGGGCGAAGCTTTGAAAGATTTTTTTCATGCCTGTGTGTGGACGGGCCGTAAGGCTTTACTCATTGGGAACTCGGTATGAGATAGAGCACACTGTTGAGATGTCAAATCTGCCTGTTTTACACACTTTGACCAACAGAGGGGTTAGTGTTCAGATGAAGCCTCATGAGATGAACCCTTTTTTGAACCAATTGGCTGGAAAGCTTCAAAGCTTCTTAAGGCTTCAACTCGCCATCACTAGTAGTCCACAGGGAACCCGAAATGTTCCCACACAGCTGATTTAAAAGAAGCAGGTGGGTTCTAGCTCCTGTGTGTTATCTGAAATCGCCATACTAACTTATCTTCTTCTTGTATTTTGTTAGTTTTGTTCTTCTTCTTCATTTGTTGTTTAAGGGCGGCTGGCAAACAGCTTTTAGGCGCAATACCGCCCCCTGGATTATATATAGTGCAATGGATACTGCCCTGAGTGACAGACTTTTTCCCCCTATGAGACATGAATGTTCTAAGTCTGGCTACGTTTTTTAGGTATGCAGGTATTCTGATTTAGGCTTCCGCCCACACGCAATAGGCACCAGAAACGTGTCCGATCACACGAGACCGCTCGAAAGCGCTGGAGACGCTGTAGTACATATGCCAGGCCTGTAAGTGGCACTATAGTCTGCCACAAAAGCAGTGAAGAAGACTTCCCGACGCTCTGGCGCTCCTGCTGTAAATCTTTCCGGTAGTCCACCAGCAGATGAAAAACACCCACCTCTTCGCCTCTTCCCAGGGGCGAGGGAACCGTGCGGCAGAGTTTCAGTTCGATTTTTTTCCGCCGGTCAACATGTCCGTTAACGTTTAAATCTTCCCGACAAAATTAGGTAAGTGTCGGTCAGAGGTCTTCTTTGTTATTTATTGAGCTTTAAAACAAATTGATAACGACTCTATATAATAATATAAGAATACTAAACGGAGCATCTCTTTTCCTCTCCCTCTTCTGACAGCCCAGCAGCTGATCTCTGAGCAGCAGAGGTGGGGAGAGGCGGGGCTATTGCTTCAACGTTATCAGGAAATGATCGAATAGACGTAAACACGGAGCCGCTTGCCCCCCCAGAGCATTTTGTTCGCAGATATACCCATCTTGGGACCCGTTATTATTATCGTTTTATGCGTTTCCATGTCAGCCTCGCATGGCCGAACCGTCTATATGATAGAGAACTGTAGCGGATATGACCGTTATCGTCCTTGTGTGGTTGGGGCCTTAGTAATTGTATTAATGTGGGATTTGAAATTGAGGTCGGGGTCCAGAACTACGCTTAGATTTCTCACCTTCTCTGATATATTTAGCAGTAGGGCTTCTAGTTTAGCGCTCACTTCAGCCCGTTCCTCCCTTTTGGCACCAAAGGTAATTATCTTTTTGTTTTGATTTTATTTAATTGTAGGAAATTGTTGCTCATCCAGCTACTGATTTGTTCCATGCAGTTGGTGAGGGATTGCAATAAGGTTCGTGGCTCAGTGTAATAACTTCAAAATAAAGCTATTCTCGTAATCGAATAAAAGGTGCTTCATTGTTTACATCCTCATATCCTTAAACCTAGGTGACACCACATGACCATCCTTACGAAACGAAAGGTCATGATGCCATCTTACAATTCTTTGTAGCACAAGAAAAAAAAAGAAAAAAAAAAAGCGATGTGCTGTTTGGCCGTCAAAAACATCAGTCAGTGCTGTTTTCTTGGAGTTCAAGAAAGATATATAGAATAAATAGGAAGTAATGTTTTTTCACTATTGGAGCTTGTTTCATTCAAAAAGAAGAAGAAAAACCCTATAAAACATGTTTGTTTGTACTATTCTTTGTAGTTTTTATCTACTAATGGCTCATTGGCAGC